GATGACTCCCCTTCTGGAAGGACAGGTTACACACAGAACTAGCACAGCACACAGCAAGCCTTGATGAAAAAGAGCAAAATATGTAGACATTTAATTTTTTTTTTTACCAAATGAACAGCATGGTTCCTTAAGTGACAGATTCCAACAAAAAAATCAAAGGATCAGAAAATTGGAACATTTCTTTATGACAGTACAATGTACTGAAAAAACCAAAATCAAATTACAAATCCCCAAGCTAAGTGTGTTTGCATCTGCCCATGTTCTGCACTGGCTGGAAGTTGTCTGATCAGGGAGTAAAACTTCACATCCACCCAAGTAAATCAATTCCAAGGCAGGATATTACCAATGTTCACACAACTTCCAGTTGGCTCAGAACAGAGGCAGAGGTTGTTCTTTCCCACTTCCAAAAGACACTGGTTATGCACACTCTGTATCAAACTCATTTTTATACACAGGACATGAGTGCTGAAGAAAAAGAAAATCTACAAAAAATGTAAATTTGGTTTTGCCTCCATCAGATGCTACACCTAAAAAATTATGTACAGAAAATCTGTTAAGAATTCAAACACAGCAGGCAGCAAACAATCACAGTACATGTACAAAATCAAAACCTTTGTCTACTGTCTCGTTTTGGCCGGGTGTTCTCTAATTCACACGGAGTCCTCAGTACGACCCTGGTACACTCAGCCAAGACCTTGTACAGCCTTAGCTCAGCCCTGCAGCACAGCACTGTGAGGGCAGGGCTGTTTCACTGCACCCGGCCAGTGTTGGCACCACTGCTGGAACCAGATTTGACTGGAGTCACCTTATCAGCTGGATACTTTTAAATTTAAAAGGCCATTTATCTTCTACAGTTTGTGAAAGAAACTTTGCTATAAACAGGGGTTTGCTTTGTTCAGTCAAAAACAGAACCTGCTCGGCCCCTTCTTAAAGCTCCTGCTAGAAACAGGTCAATGCAGCCTTTGCCAGGTCACCCTCACAGCTTGGAGAACCCACGTCCACTTGTGGGATTTAATCTTAAAGCAGATCTTCCTGTGTTTTACATTTATTTAATTCTAATGTGAAGATCTAAAGATTCATATTGCAGCTTATCAAATCTGTAAGAGAAGAAGTGAGAATTCCTGTGTTTAGGTTAAGAACTCGACAGCAGGGCTTGAAAACAATTTTCAAAAAAAGATCAGTTTATTTCGGAGGGTCTGTGTTAATTCCGTATTTTTCCTTGAGAAGCTTAAGCTGTTCCTCTTTCTTCTTTGTGTCCATCTTTTGGAATGCCTGTAATTAGGAAGAAAAAAATACGTGAGATGACAAAGAATCTCTCATCTTAGGACATGTTGTTTCCCAGTAACTGCAACCAACACCAATACGAAATCCATCACCATCATACACACAGCTCTGTTTGATTCCTGCCCTTGGAGAACATCACAGGGCCCTGGACACCGTCAGTGTCCAGGCAGGACACCCAGAAGTAGAGACCTTTTACCCGTAAACAAGATCTCACACCCTGCTGCAGCTGTGCTGGTGGGAGGCCCCTGCTTCCTCTTCTCCAGAGTACTTGCACCAGAAACATCTTTGTCACACCCTTGGTCCAAAGGTGCTTTGTCTGGCACACAAATCCCCAAGTAAAGATGAAACCTTGACCACGTGTCCAATCCACTCCCTCCAACACCTGGGGATTATTTCTTAAGAGTACCCAAGCAACTGCCTTCACAACCTGATTTTGGGTTTGGTTTTTGTGCTTGGCTCTGTTCACAGGTAACTTAACCCCCCCTGGTGCACATACCCTGTTTGCATTGTAGTAGAGAACCACGAGGTATCTGTTGCACACGTTGAACCCTGACAGGTGATCACAGGCGTTCTTGGCGTCGAAGATGTCCTCGTACACCACGTAGGCTGTTCCTCTGGTCTCAGGGGTGTTCCCACTGCAGAGCAACATCAGTTTTAACGTTGAATAAAATGAACACAAAGTAGTTTTACTAGTCTAACGTTTATTTATTTATTTCACAGTGACTGAGATTAGATGAACTAATGCTACTTCACTAAAACCCAATTTTTTATTATTTCTAGATATTAAACTACATTCTTGCTTTCCACATCAAACAATTCAGAGTCAGAGGCAACAGGAAAATGTGCTCTATTTTGCTCCTGAAGGAAAGTGCACCTCCCCACAACAACTATCAGAAGCTTTTGTCAGGGTTGCCATGTGTCTGGAAATAATCTAAGTCTTTATTAAAGCAATTAGCTTGTTTAATATTACAAGACCTGGCTGTCAGTTAGTGGCTGTCTGGATCAGATGTGTCCCTAGGGTTGAACAGGGCTCCTGGCACATCACAAAGCCAATTTAGGAATCAGAACAGCCCTGCTGGTGACAGCGCACTGCTGAGCCACAGCCCTCACCCACTGGAGCACCAATTCCACTCCCTTTGCCCGAGGGATGGGACACACGGCTGGGCACATAACACTAATGAGCCCTGAGGGACCACAGAGTTTACAGATCCCAAAGGTTTCAACTAAAAGACAGTTATAGAGACTTAATAATCAGAACAACTGTCTCCAAGGTGCTTCTGAGAACTCCCAAGGACAAACAGTATCTCACATATCCAAGTGGGATGTGTACAAAGGTGGAGAATGGGATAAAAGCTGCATGAAGCACAAAAGCCATTACAAAGGGGGATCGACCTTATGCCTTGTCTCGTGATGATGTTGGCATTTCTGTGGGAAACAACATCAGTCAGTAGTCTCGAACAAACTGCTGGATACACACGTCAGTGGGTTGCCCTAATGGAAAGCTCCTGATACATCCCAGTTCCTTATGTCCCACTGTTCCAGCCTACATGTTTTCAGAAACCTTAAGTATTGGCTGTCCTTTATGTTCATTAACAAAGAACTCCACCTGTTTAGCCCAGCAGTGCCCCTTGTTCCTTCAGCCATTCCCCAGCCACATCTGCTGCATTTCTCTGTTGGACAAGGGTCTGTCCAGCTGCACATCCCAGCACAGCACCACCAGCACGTGTCCCCCTGTCCTGGTCTGCTGAGGGCAACTCTGCCTGTGAAACTGGCTTTGCTCTATACAATTAACAACCAAACAGGTTGCCAGAGAAGCTGTGGATGTGCCATCCCTGGAAGTGTTCAAGGCCAGCTTGGATGGGGCTCTGAGAAACCTGGTCTAGTGGAAGGTGTCCCTGTTCATGGCAGGGAGTTGGAACTAGATGGTCTTTAAGGTCCCTTCCAACACAAACCACCCTGTGATTTCAATCACTACAGCTCTGAAATGAGCACTTCTATTTGAGGTTGTTACACCTGGTCTGTTTACACAGCACTGACAGTTTAGGTATTTACATCCTGCGTACTCAAAACAAACATTAATTATCCACCCCAGTCTCAGGGCATTAGGGAACAGAAAGCCATATAAATGACAAGGGGATGTTCTGCTCTAATCTGATCAGCAACTTAGTCAGAAACTCAGGAAATGTGACTTACAATGTATTAAACACCAAGTTCTGTTTCCTCCCCTTCCTAAATATTCTAAATATTCCTAAATATAGAGGTAAAAAAAAAAAAATCCTTTTGTAAGAGTGTCCATACTCCAGTCAGCCTTACTACAGTCCTCAAAAGCTCTCCCTGAATTCCAGGTTCAGCCAACTCTTTCTGCAGAAACTTAGTGGGTCATGATACCATCCAGATGGAATGGTTTAATCCACAGCATCCATGTTGGATAGGGCTTGGAGCACCCTGGTCTGGTATCCCTGGCCATGGCACAGGGATTGTTGAAACATGATGATCTCTACGGTCCCTTCCAACCCAAACCATTCTGTGACAACTCAGACAGTTCTCAGGATAACAACACCAGAGCCAGCAGTGAGAAGAACCTCAGAGCTGCTGCAGACAGGTACAATCTCCAGGCATTTACAAGCAAAGTCACAGTCACATCCCCACTATCCAGACCCTGTGTGGTCGAGGGAACCCTGTCTCTGACCCACAGGGGTTGCTGCTGGTGTTTGCTTCTAGTCCACAGGTCCAGCAGCAACATCAACATCTCTGTTTTCCCATTAATTATCTCATACTCATTAAACAGGAAAACTGGAAAACTGTTCAGCTTCTGCCTTTCTTATTTTTATCTCCAGCAAAGGTAAACGCTCAGCTGTATTTAAGACTCAGGAGAATGAGTCTCATATTTTACCAAGTTCACACCAAATTTAAGCTTCTTCCCCCCCACCTCCCAGCAATATAATTTTCTAACAAATTCACATAAGAGCATCATCTGGCACTCAGGGCACCGAGCCTTTCCAGCTGTGGGTCCCAGCTGTCCCGCGCTGCGGTGGGAACAGCGGCAGCGGAGCACGTGGAGCCCTTCACTGTCCCACAGGAAAACAAAACACTTACACTCTGATCTGCCGGATGGGGCCGTACTTCCCGAAGATGTCGTACATCTCCTCGGCCGTGATCTTGTACGGCAGGTTCCTGATGTACAGGATGCGGTTCACCTCCGGGGGGAGCCGGATCTGAGGGGGATAAGGACACGGCGGGTGTTAGACCGGAGGCACGGACCGCAAACCTTAAACCCAGCAGCCCAAATCACAGAAACACGGAATGGGATTGCGAGGGACCTTAGAGATCACCCTGTCCCACCCCCCGTGGTGTTCCCGTCAGACCAGCGGGATGCCTGGAGCGGGATGGGCTCCCCTGGCCGGGAGCGGGGCCGGAGCCCAGCGCGGGCGGGACGGGGCAGCGCAGCGCACTCACGTTGGCTCGTTTGGCCGCTTGCATCGCCATGGCTGCGGGCTGAAGGAGGAGGCCTCGGCCTGGGGCAGGAACACCGGCGGGGAAGGAGCCCGGGAACAGAACACCAGCAGGGATCCGGAACAGGAACTCCGGCAGGGATCGGGAACGCCCGCGGGAGACCCGGATCTGTCCCGGCGTGCCCCGCTCGGCCCGGCCCCGCCCCCGCCCTCCGCCCTGAGGGGGCCGCGATACCCGCCTCGCGTCCCGCCTTCCATTCACGGCCACAGAGCTGCAACACGGACCTGTTTTTAATAAACGCCTCCCGAAATCCTTTGCCCCTCCTCGCCACCTTTTCAATAAACGCCTCCCGTAATCCTCTGCCCTTCTTCACCGCCCACAATAAGCGGTCTCTGCAGTCCAAGCCCCGCAGTGACCCTGGCACCCAGCACAGCTACAGCAGCGGCCCTTTCTTGAAGCAAACGGGCACTTCGATGACGATTTTGCCGATGTTCCTGTTCTCCTCCATGACCCTGTGTGCCTCTGCGATCTTGTGCAGGGGGTAGACGCTGTCCACGAGCGGCTGGAGACGCGGGGAAGCCCCTCCGGAAAAATGGGGCAGCGCATCCTCTGTGAAGGCTCTCACCAGCCGCTCCTTGTACTGCGTGAAAAGAGAGTTCTGAAGGTTATTTCCAGCCATTTCACTCACTGAGGTGTCTCTAAGCACGGCCTATACAAAGTGTGCGCGGCCCTCAAGGAGACACTGCCTGGCGCTGTCACGGGGAAAGGGGCATAATGAACATAGGACTGGTCTAAATTACAAGTAAGAAGGAAACTTTTAGATTTATTACATTGTAACTGAATGAAATTCTCCAAAACAGGTGGTGTAAGCTCAGTGCAGAAACATTTAAATTCAAACTGATAAAGTTCTTGAAAAAATTATATGTATTATATATATATATTATGTCTTAAACCATCTACCCTAGGGCTCTGCACTACCTGTCTTTTACTGTCATAGCTGAAAATTTTCCACATAAAGGGGTTTTCTTCTTGGTAGCTGGGCATCCAAATGGCCTTGCTTTTTACTGAAAAATTACCTAATAGAGGTTTTTATTTACCTCTCCTCAGACTCGATCAAATTGCCTGATTACTCGAGTTCTGTTCTTTCTTACACCAAATCTATAAATTATGGTACTTGTGAAGTACATTTAGAAGTCCTGGGTATCATTCCTCTGATTCAGGGAGGAATTTGATAAAAATAGAAAAGGGACATTATAACTTAATTATAACTTAATTTTTCCAAGTATGCTCTGATAGCTCAAGGTGGGCCTTTATTTGGCAAGAAGGTGTTTAACACTGGTTTTAAAAGAAAACTATCAGTGATTTTATGGTCAAACTGCACAGACTGTTGATAGCCATTACTTACCTCCTTGTCTCGTGACCGTAATAGACTCGTGTGGATGCTGGCTCTTTTGTAAAGCAGCCTTGCCAGCAAATCCCCATGGACTTCACCTCCGCTCAGTAGTCCATAAATAATCCACCGACCATCAGTACCCAGACAGTTGAGATTCTTCTCCCAGTATGAGCCACCAACACAGTCTAAAATAATATCCACTCCAGAACCTTAAGTAGAAACAGAAGAGATTTCATCAATGTAGTTGAGCTGCATTAAAGGCTGGGATAATCTCAAGGAAAACTAAAACCTTGTTCTCAATAGGTACAGAATCAACCCTGCAATTCTCATCTAATTCTTCCTACTGAAATTTTTTTACCAGTGTGAGAACCCAGCATGGTGAGGTAGATACCCTACCCCTGGAAGTGTTCAAGGCGAGGTTGGATGGGGCTTGGAAGCACCCTGGTCTAGGGGAAGGTGTCCCTGCCTAGTGGAAAGTGTCATGGCAGGGGCTTGAAACAAGATGATCTTTAAGGTTCCTTCCCACCCAAACCGTTCTGTGATTCCATGATGATTCAAACTCCTACAAAGACAAGTGTGAGGACCTGGTCCCACAGTTCTTTGTGGAGCAAAACAATAAGAAGGCACAATATTTACGCCCCAAATGAACACAGATAAAGAGAGCCCATGCAGAAAACAGCACAATTAAACGAAGGAAAGGCACATTCTGAGCTGAACAGTGTGTCAGGGTCACTGCTGTCTGCTCCCTCACCGACTGAGGCGGCAGCTGAAACTGAGCGTTTGTGCACATGTTGGGAGGTACAAACCCCTCCCCACTGTCACAGGCTCTTTCACAGAGAGGTTCTTACCTTGGGTGAACTCCAGGACTTTTTCACTAAAATCTTCACTCTTGTAGTTGAACCCTGCAGCTGCTCCAGCGTTTGCTGTTGCTTTCAGTTTCTCTTGAGTTCCTGCTGTCACGATGGGAATTGCTTTTGCCAGTCTCACCAGCTGAATGGCTGCCATGCCAACTCCACTGGCTCCAGCATGGATCAGCACTGTCTCACCCTCCTGTACTTTACCTGAAGGACATAAGGGAAGAGTGGTCACCTTTGGGCATCACCTTTGGATTAAAACATGAACAGTGTGGAAAATACTGAAGAGGGGTTGAAAGAGATGCCCTTCTGGGCTTTGTTTACATCTTCATATCCTTCATAGAAGAAACAAACCCAGGACTAACAGAGGTCACAGTGTGCTGACAGAACTTCATTTTACCAGTTTCAGTGGAATGACTTTATCTTGGCCCTGTCCAGCTCTGGGCATCTGTGACCATGCTTAAACGAGTGCAATCAGCCAGTAAAAAACACTGCTGGAGGTTGTTCGTTCTGAAAAATCAGGCACTCAACAATGCAGAAATACCAGAACTGCTGGGTAATATTAAGGACCAGTTCTACCCATCATCTATCAGTTGCTCTAACACATTAATTTGAAGTGATCTGGAAGTGATCCTGAGGAAACAACACTGCTTGAAGCAAGTATAAAGGAAAGTTATTTGTTTGGAACTTCTGTTCTTTACTGGAGCTTTTAGGTGCTACTGCTAAGAGAGTAGAAGGATATTTCTCACCTGAAGAAAACCCTGGCAGTGCCTTGGCAGCGTATTTTCAAAGTGAAGAGTGTGAGCTTCTGACTGTTTTAAATCAACTCAGAGGGGATTTTACCTACAATTAATGTCTCTGTGAAACAAGGTACAAGATGTTGCCTGTTGTATGTCCAAAGGCAATTGGTGAGAAAGTTCATTATATGGTCATGCTTGCAAGTGAAGCCAAATCCTTAAAGATAGGATGACTTTTCAGCTGTTCAGAGAACATGGAGGTTATTTGAGGGTTTAGACTTAATAAAAGATGTCCCTGCCCATGGCAAGGGCATTGCACTAGATGATCTTTAAGGTCCTCTCCAGCCCAAACCATTCAGGGATTCAAGCTGAGAAATAAAGATGAAAAGAAAACTGAGCATCTTTCCATATCCCTCCTTGTAAATATGCAATCAGCAGGGTAAGCTGTGAGTGGGGAGAGGTGGTCAAGATTTCAGGATTTGTGTCTGGCATACCAGATTCTGACCCACGGGAATGAAGTGACAGAGAAAAGGCAAACAGCATTCAGATGGAGGCAACAAAGAGAGGTTTTGATAACAGAAAGGAATACGAGTTCTTTTGGGATAGATGGGCAAATACACCTCTTACCTACAAAATGCAGCAGCTGAAATGCTGTTAACCAGGCTTCGGGAATGGCTGCAGCCTGGATAAAAGTCATATCTTTAGGGATTGGCATCAGGTGGCCCTCAGGAACTGCAACGTACTGTGCTTGGCCTCCTCCGGAGAGCAGAGCCATCACTGCATCGCCGACCTTCCAAGAGCCCCTGCAGCCAGGGCCCAGCCCAGCCACACTGCCAGCTGCTTCTAAGCCTAAAATATCACTTGCTCCTTCGGGGGGAGGGTACTTCCCTCTCCTCTAGAATAAAAGAAAAGAGAAGGCAAGAAAGGAAAAGCCACACATCGTTGACTGTAATGAATTGCAATATTCCCTTTGCATGTCCCTAACCTTAGGTCCTATTTATTTAATCCTGGTTTTGCACTGTGCAAATGTTCTAGTAAACTGAGGATCTTCTCTTCTCTGGAAACACTTCTTGTTTCCTAAGTATGTTCTTAAAATAAGAATAAATTCATTTTTTTATGAGTCTCCTTTGTCCAGGCCAGTCTCCACTGAGGAGGTACCATGGTCCCCACTTGCAGAGCATGACTTGCAGATCAAACTCAATAATTTGAATGTAGTTTTTCTCCCACTGGAACTGGGCTAGTGGAACAGTTCCTGTTCATCTCAAATGTCCAGAGAAGAGTGTAAGCATCTAGAAAGACCAGAGCTTTGGTTTTACATGTTTTCTTGAAAGGCAAGTGCCTTTCCACACTAGCCCAGCACTGCAGTGACCCAGATAAAAAGATTTACCTGCTGAATCAACAGACATCTCTCGGCCCTATGAAATCTCCCATCCAAATGCTCACAACTTCCAATCTCTTTTAACTCTTCTGATCTGTCAGGACTTCAGATAGGGGCTTGGAAAATCAGTGTTATTTTCAGGTACATAAATCTGCATAACATACACATACCTGAAGTAAATCTGCCCTATTCAGAGCACTGGCAGAGACCTTCACAAGAACTTCTCCTTCTCCTGGATTTGGTTTCATCACTTCTTTCATACAGAGATTTTCTGGGCCTCCTGGGCAATCAAAATAGGCTGCAAACATTTTCTCTGAAAAAAAAACCAAAACAAGGCTGAAATAAAGCTGGCATGAATACAGGCACACTTACATGCAGTGAGAAAATCTCAGTGATGAAAGATGACAAAAGATTTTAAAAATTCCTGTTTATTTCCCTTGCCTCAGCAGGTGATTCCAGCGTGCCTGGTTTTCTCTGGTAGGGGGTCCCACTGCTGCAGAAGTCTTTCAGGTAACTCCTCAGTCTCTGTTCTGGGGTTCCTTTTGGCACCAGCAGCTGTTAAGATGGACTGCAATGTCAAGCCTCCTCCTGCCTGGCAAAATTAAATCTGCAAGAGGCTCCCCTCTGCTCCCTGGTGTTGGGTGGAAGGAGATGAGAAGAAGAGGGAATCACAGTGGGAACAACTGTGTTACTTCCTGAGAACTGGTACTTTACTGAAGGCAGCACAGGGTGGGCTGCTGGCAGAGCCTCTTCAAGGAACCAACTTGGTGTGACAGACCACCCTGCCCTCTGTAACAATCCCTTGCATGATGATAGATGCTATCTGTACAGGAAGAGCGAAGTGCATACCTAATTGTTTGTGGTAAGACTGCAAATGCAGAATGACAAACAGCTTGAAACCCTAGCAATGTCAATCCCCACGGGGTGGTGCTCTACGGCCATTTTACAGCGAATAAACACTCCCATTTCTATACAATGTAATTTAAAGGCTTTTTTTTTTTTTTCCTGAGGCTGGTTGTGTATTCATGGTTTTCAGCTGAACCATTTAATCCAGTCCCACAAAATTTGTCTGTATCAGTTAAGAAATTGAGTGGGAAGCCCACCTGATACCACCCTGTAAGAGACGCTTCTGCTTTCTTAATTTTGTCCAAATTTTAGTCAATTAAAAATAAGATGTGAAAGAAGCTTTTTTGCCTCTTCCATCAGAGTTCACTAACTTGCATTTCTATAAATTGTTGCCTTTGTTGACAGATTCAGGCCCACAAAAATGTTTAAAAAAAAAAAAAGAGAGAGAGAGAGAAGGAAAACAAGGGGATCTGAGTATCTACATTGCACTCAAATACACAGAAAACCGCAGAAACTGAAACCCAAGTTTCCAACCAAGTGTAACAACTTCAGACTGTCAGATCTGCCAGCAATGGCCCCAGACAACAATTTTAAGGAGTTATACGGTTCCCGAGCACAATTTGTTACTCACCTTTGAGTAAGGAAGGACAATCTCTGCACCGGAACAAACCCAGCCTGCCCTCGGGAACAGAGTCCAATCCCGGTTCCTCCTCTCCGAGCTCTCGGTTCCTCCTCTCCGAGCTCTGCCCTTGCCATCAGCTGCTCCTCTGCGGGTCAAGGGGTGGAACGGGGCGAGGCTGTGTTTTACTTTGGAGGGAGAGACATGAGCAGAGTCAGCACCATTAGTGCAGCTCACTGTTGTTTCTACTCGCTGACCTGGATTATGGCACGGATGGAGACAGAAAGCCCGGCAGAGATCCACCGCTCCCCCAGCACACAGGGGAGCTTGGCCTGATGCCCGTGCTGGGCGGGATGAGTGTCACGGTGTGTGCTCGGGCAGAGCAGGAGGGACTGCTCTGATTTCGGCACTCAGACTCGATTTTACCCCGCTGGAGTTCGGGGCACGGGAGCTGTGACAGCCCTTATGCCGTAGACCCCCTAGGAAGGCTGCACTGGGCTCTGTTCCCGGGAGACAGCGGCGTTCAGAGCTCGCTGGTTCATGTCCACAGCCCCGTGCATTCCTACCTGATGTTTTAGAATCACAGAATCATTCAGGCTGTAAAAGCAAATCTAGCCCTGGAAGCACTTAGATATGTGGATATTGTTACAGTATTTTGCAAGTGTTGGCATTTTTTATCAATCTTCCACTCTTACACTCTCTGCCTTCCTCCCATAGCATTAAAAAATGCTCATATCAACTGTGATATGGCTCCTGAATGTTTTACTCAGCCACACCAGACTTGGGGATAAATAACACAGTGGCACCTTTTGGATCTGCTCCAGCTCTGTGTGTAGTCCTGCAGAAAACACCAGGATAGAGCTAGTCCCAAACTAGCTTAAAATGTAAAGCCAGGCTCTGTTGTAATCCCTGCAGGAATGGGAACTGGATGGTACCACGTGGCTGACAAACCTTAGAGCAGCTGTCAACCAAGTGAGAGAGTAGAAGATGTCTTGTTGCTGAACCAAAAACTGTGGCAAGATCGTTCTCTTGGGATGAACCTTGCTTATTATAATCTCATATAATACTGTAATACTGTCAGATACCATCCCAAAGTTACCACCTGTCCCTGAGCATGTGCTATTTTATTAACTATATCTTTAAGAGCAAACTGACAGAATTTTTCACCAATCAGGAACAAAAGTATGAGTGATTGGAATCACTCAAGCTCCGTGTAAGTGTAAAGAAATAATGTCACAGTGAGTTAAGAGGGAGCGACATTAAGGAAGACTCCATCCTAGTATCTGGGATTGGTCAATGGGCTGAACCTGGCTTCTTCCCTCTAGGTAGGCCTATTGGGTAAGAACTTTATTCTAAGTGTGCTAATTATTATTTCAAGCTTTCCTTGATGATTAGAGTTTGTGTATTGCTTCAAACTTTTTCTTGGAATCAGTGCAGTGTCAGCATCAACCCCTGACTCTGTCACAATCTTGTGTGATCAGGGTATTTGTTAATGAAGTGTGTTATTCCTTAAACTGTTCTGTGTGAGTCCTTCAAGGGCGCTGGCAGACAGCAGCAGTGGGTGACATACTTGACAAAACGGATAAAATACCAACTAAGAGAGTGGGGGGATCCAGGAGGGAGTCTCTCTTTCCAAGTTGTAATAAGGGATTTGGCTCTGACACTCTGCTGGTGTCCCTGAAAAGGCTGGTTGACCAACCCCTCGATACAGTTCAAGAACAGATAAAGTCCAAGAAGCATTTGGACAACGCTCCAGGCTCTTGAACACAAGGTGTGATTCTTGGGGTGTCCCAGCCAGGGGCTGGGCACTGACAGGCTGCTCAGGCACGAGGAACTTGTCTTTCCTGAGGTTCTGACAAATCAATCATAATAATAATTTTTAAAAAATAAAATATACAGGTTTTGAGGAACCTGCCCTTTTATGTGACTCTTGGTTAGTGTGTCAGCGCAGTGCCGCTGGGGTAAAAACCCACACATTTCCCTCCTCTGTTGGTATCTCTGGCTGACTTCAGTTTCAAATTTAATGTCACGGCCAGCCCTGCACGGTAATGTGTGAAATCTTGTAATACAATTTAGTGAACTCTGGATAAACCAGTGAGCCCGACTTCGCCTGCTCGGCCCGCCTCAGCTCGGCCAGGCTCCTGTGGGCTCGGCTCGGCCGGGCTGTTCTCGCTTCTGATTGGCTCGCCGGCCGCGCTCTCGCTCTCTGATTGGTGGGCAGCCCGGACGGGAGCAGCGCGCGGGCTGGGGTTGCCATGGCAGCGCGGGACGCGCGCGGAGGGGCCCGGCCGTGCCCGTGCCCTGCGGCCCAGCTGCCCCGTCCCTGTCCCCGGGGGCGGCTCCTCCTCGTCCCGAGGGGCTCTGGGTGCTGGGAGAGAGGCTGTTTTCCCCGGCGGAAGGACGTGGAGGGGCTCTACAACAATCGTGAGTGTAGGAGGGCGCTGCCATTTTCCCCTCAGCGGGGCTGTGCCGAGCGGGGTGGGGCGGGTTTGGCTGCCCTCGCCTGCCCTGGGCTGTGCGGGACTCGCCTCAGGGTGCGGGGCGGGGGGTTCGGCGTTTTCCTCTCGCTGGCCCGGTCACCATCGCTGCCTCCGAGGTGCAGGGGCCAGGCCTGCACATGTTATCTGTTAGCTCAGCGTTCACAAGCTGCAGGGTTCATAGAGCTGCCCTGCTCGCACTAGAGACTGGTTCTCTCACAGAATCAGAACAGTGTGAGCTGGAAGGGGACCTTGAAGTTCCTTCAGCTTCAGCCCCCTGCCATGGGCAGGGACACCTTCCACTAGACCGGGTTGCTCGAAGCCCCATCCAGCCTGGCCTTGAACACTTCCAGGCATGTGGCACAGTGAAACATATGCCCTAATATTACAGAACAGCCAACCTGCTCATGGGACTTGGCATTTGCAGGCTGCAAATGCTACATTAACTGCAAATTTTTTTTTATCCACTCAGATTTTGGAAATACTTTACTGTATTTCTATCCAAGACTGTGGTTAAACCTTTAGTTTTAAGACCTGAAAACCAGCTGCTGTCTCAAGTCAGAGAGCCCTGCCTTTGTCGGTCATGGAGAGCTGGTGTCTTCTAGCAAGACTCCAAACAAAGCAGTAAAAGAAAGGATTAAGATTCAGTGGCAGCTTGAGTTACAAAAGACTGGGGGGAGAAAAATCTGCAGTTAGAGTGTTTACCACTTGTGGGTTCCTGAGGGCAGATTGCTACAGAGGCAGGTTCTCTATGTTTGCTCTCTTTTGTCTGCCCTGGGGGTCCCAATTCTCTGTGATGAGATCAAACACCTCCTTTGCTTTGTGCTCACAGAAAGGCTCAGCCTTTCTTTGTGAGATGGATGGAGTCTTAATACTAGTTCCCGAAGTTAGAAAGGAGCCTAATGGTTGGGTTTTTTTTAAATTTTACTTGTTTTGTAAGATCAGAAATTAAAATATTAAAATATGTATTTTATGTAATTTGTAGTTTAAAATATTGAAATATGTGTTTTCTGCGTCTCAAACTTGTCCAGGGATTTACAGCATCCCTACCCCAGAAGAACAAAACTAACTGGAAGGAAAAGAAATCTGTCAAAGATAGTATGACCAAGGAACCCATGGCACCTCTGCAGGTGAGTGGGATGTCTTTCTCATAGGGGGGTTTGTTAACTTGTCTGATATCAAATCTGTAACACCTCAGTTCAGCCCAGCCTCAATGCTCTCTGCCTGTTATTTTGTATCAGAAATTGGGTCAGTGCTAATCAGGGTACATGTACTGTCATTTGTCTGTGTAGGATATTGACTGCACAGTTTGCCTTAATTGGTTATTACAGGATGAAGGATAAACTGTGAGAATTCTTCCCCTGCTCCTCAGACACCAGGAGGTTGGATATGCTTTTTTGGAACTCAGTAGACTTGTGCTGTCTGGATAAAAGGGAGATTGTTTTTGGAGCAGGGGGCTTCTCCCAGGGAACACCATCCTCCAAGGCACAGCTCTGCAGGGGCCGTGGGGCACATGTAGACAAAAAAATGTTCATTTCCACATGGAAAGTGGCAGGACCCCTGCTTTCCAAATCCTGTGTCCTAATTATAATCCCCTCTTTTCTTCTGTGTCTCTTGTCTCCTCTGTGCAGAGAAGACAGGGAATCACTGTAGAGGAAGGGCCTGCTGGGCTGCCACACTGCCAAGGCCAGGGTGTATTTCTGGCTTTGGAGCCTGACTTACAGGGGCTGAAAAAATTCCGTGGAGGATTGGGATGTTGTGACCTACCCCACTGCAAATCTTTTAGTTTTCCCTCGTGCCTGATGAAAGAATAGAAATGTTGCAGAGTTATGCAGGAGGGAAGGAAAGTCACTGGTACCATGTGCATTGTTTTCCCCCCTTAATTTGGTTTGACCTGGATTACATGGCAGAAATGAGGATTTTTCCATTATAGAAGCAGTTGGAGGGAAGGACACGAGCTTTCAAATTTGAGGAAGGGAATTTTCAGAACTTGGCTGGGCAAGGCCTTGAGCAATCCTGCATGTGAGGTTTGCTCTGCTTCAAGCTGGCATGGGACTGGGGCTCTTGAGATCCCTTCCAACATACACTTTCCTCTGGTTTCTGACTCAGTCAGAAAAGACAGGAAAGCATTTCTGTGAGGAAGCAGGAATATCCAGGCAGATGTATCTACCAGTGCATAAGAGCAGGGAATGTGAAATGAAACAAATCATGATACAGATTACAGACTGCACCTTGAACTGATGGTAAGAGATTCGAATCTGCAGTCCAGAGAGGCCAGCTGGGAGTCAGATATTGTCACTGAAGTGCTGGGTTGGACAGAGTAAACTTTTAAATATTGTCTGGTACAAAAAATATTGTTACCTTCTATGAATACCTGATTTGGAGAGTCTTTGCAGGTTCTTTTAACTAGATGTTGCAAAAAATAATTGAAGAACAGAATGTATTTTTGTAACTGAAAGATGTGGCTGAAGATTTGAGGTGAGTATCTCAGCAGAAATAAGCTTTTCTTTTGTTCCACTCTCTACCTAAGTAATGTGAATCCATTGTTTCCTGGAAGCAGTGTGTCTCCAGTGAATCTGAAATAAATAGAGGTTTAAATGGAGGTTCCTGTAAAGGGCATTTTACCTCTGTGGTTCTGCTGTCTCTGTTATAAATTGATACAGATATACTGAGGCACAGACAAGAGAGGAGATGGAATTTTCTGGCTAGAGCTCAGAGTTGGTGCTTCAGCATAAGCTTTGTCTGGTAGAACTGACTTTAAAGCCCCCTGAAACGCAGCCATCCCTGGGGTGGGATGTAGCAGTTACTTGAAAG